ATTGCTTCATCCACTGGTCCCTATATAAAAATTTTTAAAAATTAGAGTGTTAGGCTGAATTAATGAGGATGCTTGTAAACTCTTAAATGTTTTGTTCAGGAGTTGCAAGAGGTTTTCAGTGACTTCCCAAGGCATCAAATCCAGTAGACCTTTTCCTGTCCTCTTCTTTGTAGAGTCCTCTTTTACTTTTGATATTGTTGAACTCTGTGCTCTTGACATCTGTTTTTCCTCTCACACTGTTTTTTGTTTGTTTGTTTGTATTTTTACTGTTGTCTTTAATTTTGCTTCTTTTCACATCCAGTTTTATTTTTTGTTTTCTGTAAATTGTCTGGTCATGTCACTTGTCCATTTTTCTTTAAGGTTACTAGTTTTTTAACTCCTGTAATTTTAGAAGTTCTTTATGAAAGTATTGTCTTTGATGAAAGTTAACAAGTATTTTTTTCTTCAATTTTTTTATCTTCTTTCTTTGCTTTTGGGGCATACGTGTGTGTTTGTTTAATTATACAAGATTTTTAAATTTTTATGTTGTCAAATTTATAGATCTTTTGCCTTTTAATTCTGAATTTTGAATCTCAAAAACGTTTTTCCCTGAGGCTAGGCAGTAGTGCAATGGAAATGCAACTGGAGTAAACCCAGGAAAGTCCTGAGTTTGCATCCTTGGGCTTCCCTGAGCATGCCATGTGCACTGCGCTTGTGATCTGGACCAGCTGAGACCAGGAATGGATTGCAGCATGAAAAGTCTATTGGAGTGCCTATCCCTCTGCTTGTTTGCTCTCTGGCTCTTCATCTCTCTCTTGAGTAGAAGAAATAAAGTTTTTTAAATTTTATTTTAAAGAGACATGGGAAGAGGGGAGAAAACACTTTTTAATGGAGCATGGTCACACTGCAATCTCTTCTCCTCCATTTTCTTCATTCTGTTGAAATTTTGGGCAAATGAAACATGTATCTGATGTGTTTTTCAAGCAGCTGGAGCTGAGATTAGAACCATAGGTGGCCCTGTGGAATCCAGCTCCCTTAACTACTAGGCTGCAGTCCCAACCCTAAATGAACTTTAAAAAAGTATGCCCCCCCCATGGTATTGAAAATTTTATCCATGTTTTCTTCCATTATGTAATTAAATTTCTATTAATCATATTCTTGTTCCAAAAGAATTTTAAGCAGCCTCTGAAAATACATGCAAAAGAATTTTTAAAAAGTGAGAAGACAAAATAGAAATTCCATTAAATTATACATGAAATTTAAGTATATAATAAAGACATTTTAAATCAGTAGAGAATTTATAGACTTAAAAATAATTTGTCAGAGGGCGTGTGCACGGGCTGGAAGGAGAAGAGTGAGAAAACACTCCCCTTGGGGAATGGTCATGCAGGAATCCATTCTCTCCCACTTCTTCCTTTCTGAATTTTGGGCATGCCCTACATATTTTTCAAGTCACTGGGTCTGAAACTTAGACTGTGCAGTTGACCATGTGGGATCTAGCCACCTTAACCACCATGCCACAGGGTGATCCTAGATTGTTGGATAATGCTATTATTAGGTCATATTTTTCTATGCAATAATGCATCATGACTTTTCCAATGACCCAATAGATTAACCAAGTAGCAATATAGAAGAATATAAAATTAGATTTATTATTGACATTCTATAAGGATAAATTCCAAGTAGATCAGAGTTTTACTGATACTAGCATGAAAAAATATTTTCACATTTTACAAAGAAGAATATTTGGCGTGTCTTCTAACACCTTGAGATATCAATCATGTTCAATAAAAAATACAATTAGAAAACAGACCTATATCCAGAAATTGTTAACTTGCTTATAGCTTTCCTAAACCAGCTGAGAACTTCAAGGAAAGCTAGTTAGTGGAGGAATGAAGGAGGGGGAAAGGTGTGAGTCTATTTGAAGCCATTGCAAAGCTACTAAAACAGCCAGAACCTGAAAGTCTAAGATTTATGAGAAAGTACAATAAGGTGTGCCTAATAGTTATTTTGCTTTTATTCTTGAAACTTTTCTGATTTGTAAGTGGTAGGGGAAGAAAGCCACTGCCAAACGGCAGAGACTCTGCAAGTAAAGCCTTTGGCAAGCTCACGGGGTTGGCAAAGCCAATGTTGGACTTCATTGCTAGTAAGAGAGCTGGTCATTGAAAGGCGAACATCTTATAGAAAAGGGACAGGCAGAAAACAGACCCCAGTAGTTCGAGCTACTTTATTTTTGAGGCAATTGCCAGTTTCTTAGTGACCTAGTCTGAAAGAAGCCAAGCAATAAGTGGCAGCTAAGAGACTGAAGAACTAAATAAACCTTTCAGCATTTAGGACAGTAGGGAGATTAAAAGTGGAAAAATGACATTGATCTTCAGTTGGACTGCGAAAGGACCATTCTTGGCCTTATGGAGACTGAAATTGACTGGAACTTACGAAGAATGAAACTCAGTCTTAGAAAAAACAAATCCTGCTTAGATCAGGGCCTCTGCCTCTTATTCTAAATGCCTGCAAAAAGCTGAAGACCTTAAGTTTCCATATAAAATGTTACATTCAATTACAAACTACCAGGCTCACAGAGCTAGGACTGAGAGATAAGACAATAGAAACAGATCACAAGTAAACCAGGTGTAGGGATTTTTAGACACAGAATTTAAAATAACTAAATGTGTTCAACAAGTTTATCAGAAAAATATAATTTATTTTAAAATTATAAACAATAAAGGAAAATTATAGACCAGCACTTTCTCACAAACATAGAAGAAAGGAATTTCAACATAAACATTGGCAAATCAAATGCAGAAGTATATAAGACGAACAGTATGGTTGAACATCACTAATCGAAAAATTCAAAACCTGAAATGCTCCAAAACCCGAAACTTTGTGAACACCAACATAATACCGCAAACAGAAAATAGATAACGAGGTTCTAATTCGTTCATTAACCAATGGTGAAATAACCGAAATGGTTCTGAATCAGGGTGATTGTAGTTATAGTGATGAAGATGACATTGTTAATGCAGAAAAAGTGCCCGTAGATGACATAGTGAAAACACATGATAAGGCTTATTGTGAAAGTAGAGGAACATGCATTCAAAACAAGAAGTTATGTCAGTTTATAAATCAGAGAGATATTTATTTATTTATTTATTTATTTATTTATTTATTTATTTATTTATTTATTTATTTATTTATTTATTTATTTATTTTGGAAGAGGTTTTTGCTATAGGGCACATGCGCTCACCAGAAAGACAGAGAGACAGAAAGCAAGAAATCACCTCCCAGGGGAGGATGGACATGCAGCAATCCCTTCTCCTCCATTCTCCTCTTGGGACCTTGGGCACGCACGCACACGCGCCCAGCATGAGTTTTTAAGCCACCGGGTCCGGGACTTGAACTGCGGTTGACCACATGGGAGTTCAGTGACATAGCCATTACACTAACTGCTGGTTCTAAAAGAGAGACTTTTGAAAAGAGTAGTTGATGAGGACACAAAAAGTTCTTACCGTGATAGAAAGATTGATAAAGTTAATTTCTTTAAAATGAAGAACATCTGATTATTAAAAGACACCACTTAAAGATTAATAAAACAAGTTATAGAATGTGAGAAGATATTTGTAATACAACTATTCAACATAGAATTTGTATATAGATTGTGTAAGAAAAGTTTCTACAAAGCAATAAGAAATAGACAACTTGCTATTAAAAATAAACTAAAGACCCTGAATAGACCTGTCACCAAAAAAGATATTCTAGTGGCCAATATGAATAGTAAAAGGTGCTTAATCTCATTTGTCAACAGGAAAATGGACATTAAAACCACACTGAGTTGCCATTACACACACAAAACTGAGTATCTTTTTGTTGAAAAGCTCTCTATCCCAAATGTTGTTGAGGATACAGAATAGCAGGAAACTTTGTAGATTGCTAAGGGAGCATAATCACTTTGGAAAACCATTTGGCTATATATACTAAGGTTGAATATGTACATGCTTTATGACCCAGCTTGTCTACTCCCAAATGCACAAGAAAAATGCATGCAAGTGTACCCCAAAAGATATGCTCTCCAGTGTTCATAGTAACATATTTGTAATAGCAAAAAAAGGAAACAACCTAACTTTTCATCAATGGTATTAAATAAATTGTTTTATTCTTTGTATGTAATGTTATATAATAATGGAAACTAATGAACTTTATTTATATCAAATAACCTAAGGTATCTCCTATACTTAATGTTGTCTGTTAAAAAGTCACATATAGCAAAGTATATATCAATGATTTCTTTTATATAAAATTCAATGCGGTCAAAACTAATCTATGGTGATAGAAGGCATGATAGTAGTTATCTTTGAAGGAGAGAATGTAAGAAATGACTGGGAGTTTGCAAATCGGCAAGAGTCTGCATCTAAGACAGGGATAAAAGTCTACTTTTTGATCTCAGTGATAGTTAATGGTTGTGTTCACTTTGGGAAAAATCATTTAATTGTACATTTGATTACTAGACTTTTCTGTATGTGTGGTATACATCAGTCAAAACGTAAACCTTGACTAAATTGTCCCTGTGGCCTAGTCATTAAGGGTTCTGGATCCCCCGTGACTGACTGTCCAGTTTGAACCCTGGGCATGCCCAAATCCTGACAGGGAGGAGAAATGAAGGAGTAGGGATTACTGCATAACCATCGTGCGTGCTTTCTCTATGTCTCACGTGTTTACGCTCTGGCAAAATTTTTTGTTGCAAAAGGATAAACCATGACAAAGACACCGTTACAAAACAAGCCAGAAGGCATTATACCATGAAGCTAACAGTATATTATATTTCTGTGTGATGTTATGTGACTTTGGATGATATATGTATGTATTTGTTTACTCTAAATTTTACAATTATAGTGAAAATCTGGTAAGACTTTAACTCTCATTGGAAAGTTGACATGATTTGGAGCTTTTGTGGAATCCAGAATTATAGTACCTTTGAAGGCCATCATATGGCTAAACTATGCCATGTCCTCTCTTCCTTAACTAGGCCCTAAAAAGCACATTGGGATTTCCATTGATTCGGTTTGAAGATGCTGTGATTAATCTGGATCCATTCACTCGAGTGCATCCTTATGAGACCAAAGAGTTTATTATCAACGATATCCTCAAACATTTCCAGGAGGTAAGCATTGGAGGCGTAGTTAGTGGCTAGAGTGTAAAAAGAATGTTTGTTTTAGTTGTTTGAAAATTTTGGTTACTAAGACATTATGGTCGAGCACCCAGTTAAACATTTCAGCTCTGTTGTGTTGTGTGTGTCAGGTCATATCCTACGGAGCCCATGTACATCATGAAAATTCTGAGATAGTACATTTGGCTTATGAGCTGTGAGTCTTGTCCATCAGGGCTAGTCTTAGAGGCTTCTAAGTTAGTCATAACTTTTAATAGTTTAATTGATGCTATAATAACAACGCAAAATGCTGTGAACTCTTTATTTACCACGCATGAGCCTACTTTAACAACCACATCAGTGCTCTCAGAGCCTATGAGATCATGTCCTTGAGTTGAACTTGAAATTCTTTTTCATCAAGTTGTTCATTTTTCATTTTGCATTTATTACCCAGACTGCCAAGACCAAAATGGAAAGCCAAGGCATATTTATCAATGAATCAATGGGTCAAAATCATACCAAATTTATTAGCTTTTAGAGTTAAAATATATCCTCTTTTTGCTTCCTTTTCTCCCTCCTTTTCTTTTCTGGCTTCCTTCCTTGCCTTTCCTAATTAGTGCTATTTCTACCTAACTGGAGTAGAGTGTTAGAGCAGATCGCATGGGAACAAGGGATCGAGCATTTGGAGTCAGAGAAAAAGTGGAAAGTCGCTTTATTAGTGTGCTCCTGCCCTCTCCATGCCTTCTACCCTCCTCCACAGCTTATGAAGGGAACTACAAATATTCCTGCCTCCCTCACTTACCTTGTAAAATTCTCCCTGATGCTGATTAACCCTCCATTTGTAGAAATGATGGAGAGTATGATGAATACATTAATAAATACTAGTTGTTCTAGTTCATTCTTTTACTAATAACAGAAAATCCCCAAGACTGAGTAATTTATAAAAATAGAGTGTTGTTTAGCTTACAGGCTAATGCTTGGTAAATAAGTCTGGTTTAGAGGTCCAAGGTCCAGGGGCCACATGTAGTGGGGGTCTTGCAGAATCCCAAGGCATCACATACTGGAGGTAAGAGAACAGCACTGTATCCATCAGTCTTTCTGTTCTGGTCTTCCTCCCTGTCTGTATAAACAAACCTACCAGGACTTAATCATGGGGCCACGCCCTGGTACCACATTACTTTCCAAGGCCCCATCTTTCTGCACCATAATCGGATTAACATTTCATCCTCTTAATCTTGTTACAGACAGTGATTTACCAAATTTTAACACACGAATTTTGGAGGGATATTTAAACCATAGTACTTGGAAGAAACTTTCTGTTTTATAGCTATTTTTATTCTTCTGACTGGCTTTGAAGAGTATTTCTAAGAGTATTAAAAACCATCTCTAGGATATGTGTATCAGGAGAAGTCTAGGTGGAGCCCATGGAAGGACAGGACATTATTTTGCATTTAATAAAGATTAAGAGGCAGTTGTTGTTGGTAATGGGAATGGAGGACTAGAGAGATTCTAAACATTTTTGCCTGAGACACTGACATCTCCAAATACAAACTGGTACTGATTTGATTTTTTTCTCCCCACTCCATTTGGCAGGAACTACTCAGCCAGGCAGCTCGTATCCTGGGATCGGTGGATTTTCTCGGCAATCCCATGGGGCTTTTGAATGATGTTTCTGAAGGGGTTACTGGACTGATAAAGTACGGAAATGTTGGGGGCCTTATCAGAAATGTTACACATGGAGTATCAAACTCTGCTGCCAAGGTAAGGAAATAGAGGTGAAATTCCATTATAGTTAACCTTGTAATTCTGCTACATAGTTATAATTTCTTTGGTAGCTAATAGACAATGAGAAGGCATATTTGCAGCATTTAATTCTTGTTCATGTGCCTTGCCTTTCTCTCACATGCATAACCTGTCACCGAGTCCACCATGGAAACATTTCTTCCTCCCTATATACACTGCCTTAGTTCAGGCTCTGCTTAGCTCTTATCTGGGTCACTGCCATAGCCTTGTGACTGCCCGGACTTCATTGCAGCTTTCACAGTGCCACAAGAATGAACTCAGTTTTTGAAACATAAAATTGGACCAGGCTATTCTCCTGCCTAAAATCTACCAGCTACTCCCCATGGTTTACAGGAAAATCCAAACTAAAATATAGGCTTCTCTAGTGACACAGCCCTTTAAGTCACCTGAATACAGCAGTGGAAGTATGGTAATGTGGGTCTCCTGAATCAGCCCAATTGACTTTTTTTGTTAATGGCATCTTACTTGGTAGACGTTTTGTTAGTCTGCTATGTATTGTCTGGAAGGAGCTGATTTTATGGAAAAGGAAGGGTAGCTGCTGTTTCATAACATATGAAAGGCTGTTTAGCACCCTTTTATAGGGCTGACTTTTTCATAAATGAACTGTGTTTGAGGAGGCACCTGTGCCATGTTGTGCTTTGTGCTTGTTTCCTCCTGACAGTGGTTGTAGTGGGGCCTTAGGCACACTTAAACTGTGGCCCATGAGGATGTCAGTGTGGCTTTAGCTGAAAAGACGTTGATAATGCTACATAAGGACTTACTTTGAAGAGCAGATGACAAAGTGGAGCTGAACAGCATTTCTATATTGCATGGTATTCTCGTTAATAATATGTGAAAGCTGGGAATGTATTCCTTTTTCACATATTTTCTAGAGTTGTTAATTCTGTAGTCAGATCAATTTCTTCCATGTTGTAGATGTATTGAGCCAGACCAGAAGTTTACTGTTTGGCTTATGGATCAAAGCAGGCAACTATCACTTTTAGAGAAAAGGTGAAAGGTAGAGGCCAGAGAAACTTTCTGAATCACAGTTTGGAAACAGTGAGACTCGGGTTCGTAGTCTGAAGGAGTACATGCCTTCTGCCTTGAATCGTTTCTTTCTTGTCCCACTCTTGCACCTCTGCCCATTAGGTGATCTAAAACATCACAGTGGTGGCACAGATTCTCCATTTTCTTCATTTAAAATCATCCCATAGGGGATGATCCCATTGTAATCCCTTCTCCATTCCCCCTTTGGGATTTTGGGCATACACACACACATGCCCAGTGTGTTTCTCAGTCACCAGATCTTCAAATTGAACCGCAAAGCTGGCTGTGTGGGATCCAGCCACCTTAACTACCACACTGCCAGCTGGCCCCTTCGTGCACTTCTTTTAGCGACTGGACTTGATGAACAGTATATGTGATGAACAGATATACTGAAATATTTAGTTCTAAATACCCAATTAAAAAGTGTTTATTGGGACCAGCAGTTAGCGTAATGGCTATGTCGCTGGACTCCCCTGTAGTCGACCACGGTTTGCGTTCCAGACCTGGTGGCTTAAAACTCACGCTGGGCGCGTGTGCGTGCGTGCCCAAGATCCCGAGAGGAGAATAGAGGAGAAGGGACTGCGACATGGCCATCCCCCCTGGAGGGCGATTTCTTGCTTTCTGTCTCTCTGTCTGTCTGGCGAGCACACATGCCCTATAGCAAAAAAAAAAAAAAAAAAAAAAAAAAAACCCCCCCCAAAAAAAAAAATAAAAAAAAAAAAAAAAAACCTCCCCCCAAAAATAAAGTGTTTATTAAGGTTTATTAATCTTTTTAAATTATAATGAATATAAAGTCTCACTGGTTTTATAATTTCTTTGTTTTTGTACCTCTGGGTATTACTATAGTTTGAAACACGAATATGCTTATGGTTTACCAGGAAGACTTCCTAAACATGGCTTGGATGTGCACCTACTTTATGGACTTATTGTGAGGATATAGTGAAATAGGACATGAAGAAAATTTTGAAAAATCCAGACTAAAGAAGAGAAATGGGTTTATCTCTTTGTCCATGATATTTGCACCCGATATCTATTAGTGTCCTTAAAGTGAAGCCAGTACATCATAGTCTGAGACAAGGAGTCAGACCCCATCTGGGCCAGTTCAGTGTTAGGAAGCCTCTATAGTTAACCTTCTGGATGAGAATGAAGAAACCGTTAACTGGCCCATGAATTCTCGACAGGAACGACCTGTTATGGGTTTCTCCAGTTTTCCTGCAGCATCATGAAGAAAAGGGTTGGTCCTTTCTTTATTTTCCCTCATTTGTATAAATCTTACTTATTTCCTGGTTTTCCCTTTTCCCCTGGAAGACTGTTTTTTGTTTTTTTTTTTTTGGAGAGATTTTTTCACTGTAGGGCGCGTGCGCTCGCCAGACAGAGAGAGAGAGACATAGAGACAGAAAGCGAGAAATCACCCCCCAGGGGGGATGGTCACGCCACAATCCCTTCTCCTCCATTCTCCTCTCGGGATCTTGGGCACGCATGCACACGCGCCCGGCGTGAGTTTTAAGCCACCAGGGCCGGGACACGAACCGCAGTCGACTACGTGGGAGTCCAGCGACATAGCCATTATGCTAACTGCTGGTTCCCTGGAAGACTGTTTTTGAAACTTAAAGATCAATTTAAGAATATAACTTGGGCAGAATGAAAGGGCAGAGTCCTTCCTACCCCACTCTTAGCCTGGGATCTGTGTGAAGGCTCGGTGGCAGTGATAGCACATTTTACTGGGTGTAACACTTTATGTTGTCCTCAGATTTCTAAGGGTTTTGCTTTCCTGGGCTCAAGACCTCATTAATGGGAACCTTGCTGTCCAAGTCGCTAGGGTCTTTCTTCATGCATTTGTATTATATTTAAAAAGCTAAGCATTATTGGGACCACAGGCTGCTACTAAGAAGATTCACTGTATAATTTATTTTGATATCAAGAACCCTAGATGTGTTATAAAAATTAATCCTTATATCTCTAAGATTAGAAAGCAAAGAAACTTACAGTTACCTCTTCACACTGGAAATGTTAGATGCAAAAGCAAGGTCAATGAAGTAAACACCATTCAGGTCATCTATGATTCTGCATATCTGCGGTTGGGCTAAAGATCTCTGTGTTCTTGTCACTTTGTGGGTGGAAATCAGCCTTTAATGTTGCTTTGGGGCAATGTTTTATTTGTTTCTCTGTATATACAAGAGGAGTTTAAGGAAGTTCAAATGACCACAGTAATCAACTGTGGGAAGTATTCCTTAAAGAGTGCCTGAGTTCCAGTGATTAAAAAAGAAAAGAGAGAGAAGACAGATTGCCTTTCAGTGAGCCTTAGCCAGCCAGCCCCACTTTGCCGCAAAGACCAAAGGGCTTTAACCTGATTCGATGGGATTTGAGTAGCATAGAGAAACTCCATAAGCTTCTTAAATTACTTGTAAATATTGTATATATGTGTGTGTTTCTAGGATGAGGGCCTAAAGTTTTTACTGGATTCTCAGAGTGATTCACGCCTGCAGGAGATCATACACGATTATTGTAGACAGAGTTGTGCATCAAGGAGAGGGTGGGATTGGTCATTAGGATTCTAGAGCACTAATTCCAACCTTGCCTTTAAATATTTTTTTCCTGTTAGTTTTGAAGATTCTGCTTTGTTTTTTAAATCCATGAAAAGTTGCTAGCAATTCTCCTTGTCTTATTGACCTGAGAAGCAAAAGAGATGAGGTATGTGAAAACATCGGGAGAAGTTAAAAGGGAATTCGTTCTGTCATGTAAGAAGGTGATAGACCTGCATGTCTTAGTCATCTGTGGATAGATGTTGTAAATTATTCATGGAAAATTTTAATTTCAGGTCTTTAGTGTCCACTTCTCATTTCATTTCTTTTATCTATACCATATTAGCCTTAAGGAAATATAACTAGGAAATAACTCATACCACCTTACCCTCTTTAATTTTCTTCACCCTTCTTCTCATCCTTCAACTCCCAGAAGTCAGTTTAAGGATTCCAAATCTATAGAGATCTGATTTAGAGATTACCCACCAAGTTGTGGGCGTCTATCCCACGTCTCCTCTCCCTGGATCTTGACAGTATGACTAATCCTCAGTGGAACCTCAAAGATCTGATCGTGTGTCTGAGGCTATGGGAAGATGATCACTTTAGAATCGGTTCTAGGGATGTAATTTATTTTTTAAAAAAGGACAGGATTTCAAATTCCAAACCCAAGTCAGAAGAACAGGCTTTTCTCTGCAGTATGAATTGCAGAAAATATACGTCCTCTTAGTTATGTGTCATGTGAATATCTGCAAGAACCTTTAAGCTCTTTCAAAGCCAGAGAATTGAGGAGACCCCTATTAAACAAATTATTTTCCTTATGTAATAAAACTCCTACTTCACTTACATATGTGACTATCATGTAATATTTTCACATACAGGGAATATCCCATAGCTACATAGCTATCCTTCAAAAAGTGAAAGTTATTTTCAAACTAAGAAAATCTCAGATGTTAACAATAGAGCAAGTCATTCCATTTTCTCTCTTTCTCTTTCTCTTTCTCTGTCTCTCTCTCTCTCTTTTTTTTTTTTTTTTTTGTCCCTATAGAAACTCTGTTTGCTTTTCACAGCTGTCATCTGGTTTGCCTGAGGGAAGAAAGCTAACAGCATACTTAATTCTTTCCAGGAAAGGAGAGAAACACTTTTGATCATCACTAGCAGGACCTGTGCTCTTATTTTATTTTTCATCCCTCTCGGTGTGTCTTTATCAAGTTAGTGTAGGATGCATATAGGATACTTTTGATCCTGGGCACTTTTTTTTTTCCATCTGAAATTGTCTGGTTTGCCTGAGGGAAGAAAGCTAACAGCATACTTAATTCTTTCCAGGAAAGGAGAGAAACACTTTTGATCATCACTAGCAGGACCTGTGCTCTTATTTTATTTTTCATCCCTCTCGGTGTGTCTTTATCAAGT